AAGGGGTGGCAAATTATAAAATTTGCCCTTATAGTGATGTACAGTTCTGTAACAAGCAACAAAGATCAGTTTTTTATGAGAAAATGGACACAGATGATTCTTTTTGGTCCAACAGCATGGTGTTCGGCTAGCAATCCGTGGCCTACGATCCGGGATGTTTACATGGTGCTGCTCAACGCCACAATCTCTTCACATTACAAAAACACAACCTGAATCGCATGTATACATCTAACCTGAAGATGCAAATCTGTCGGCGCAAACAATCCGGAAGAGCTACCGCGATCACGGACGCCTGCCCAAACAGATCCTAATCTGGAAGATCGATCGAGGGAGGGCGCGCACAAAACCCTAGCCTGATCCGCACGAATCGCGCCGCGCAGCATCCCAATCTAGCAGAATCCCGGAGCGGAATCGCGGGCCGGAGGCGGGATCCCCCAGGCCAGGCGTACACGGAGAGGAGGGAGAGGGGGAGATGGCGAGACCTGGCAGGCGGATGTCGATGCGGAAGGTGCCGCCCTCGTAGGGGCTGTCGCGGGGCCCGGCGATGGTGCCGGTGAGGTGGGTGATGCTGGAGCCGCCGTCGTGGAGCGCGATGGAGACGCCGGAGATGTCCGAGTCCCGGTTGCACTCCGTCAGCTCCTTCTGCACGCGCGACACGTCCACCATCTTCTCCGGCGAGGCCCCTCCCTCCCCTCTCGCTCGCTGTCCCTGGAGGCGGCCGGCGGTGGCGCGGTGGTGGTGGTGGCGGTGGAAATAGGTGGGATGCGAGAGGAAGGGGGAAGAGAAGGGCGGCGGAGCTGTATGTAGTACTGCTTCTTAATTATAAAGGGAAAATAATTATGCTGATTAGTTAATCACCCGATAATCATCATCATCTGCTAATTAATCCGTCTGACTGGATTGGCTTTGGCTTTGTGTTTTCCTTTCTTTCCTCCGGACATTGAGGCCTCGGTTGCCACGCCAACATTCTCGGAAAAAAATTATATGAGACCAGGTCTCATATAAATCAGGTGAAACCCGTCTTGATGGATGACATGTGGCATTCACAAATCACGAAGTATCTAATCTCTCCCCCCTGATTTCAGGTGGGGGTGGGGTGGATGCTTTGTGATTTGCGAATGCCACGTGTCATCCATCAGGATGGGTCTCACCTGCTAATCCGTGAGACCTGGTCTCATAGAATTTTTTTCCAACATTCTCGTTGCCTTGAGCCCAAATCGAATTAGTTCAAAATTTTCACTGAAATTTTTGGACTAATTTTGCAAAAAAGAACCCAAAGTCTCGTCGAGTTCTTGCGTGGTTTCCATTTTATGAGGAGGATTAATTCTTGGTTTTTTGTAATCAAACTTGGCCGTCGTGTAATTTTCAGCGACACAAGAAAGGAATCCTACAAAGTGACGTGGTGGTATGGAATCTGCTTTTAGATGGTTTTCTTTCCTTCGTTGACGTTGTTGGCCAATTGAGCAGTTTATCCTTCTTTCGATAGAGACGGATGGAGCATAAGATATTAGGGGTTTCACGTGATTGCGATGTCTGTTGAAAAGAAAAGAAAAAACATATTTCTAACTTCTTTCTTTGAACACAGTATAGACGAAGACGCTTATAATTTCGAAAGATCGAGCCCGCACATTATTCTGAGATTGACAGAGTCGCCACAGACGCCTCCTTCCACTGAACACACATCGTCGGAAGGGCTAAAATAAATCCATAAAAATGCGAGCACCAGCGTCAAGTCTCGGAAAAAAATCTCTGTAACTTGAACCCTGGTGGGCCAGGGATACTGTCGTCCCCCTAACCATCCAATCACAGGTTGATTCGCAACCAGCGCTGCTACACGGACGACAATTTTACAGCCGACACCTGCACGATCCTACTTGGCAGCATCAAAAGCAAGCGTGCAGGCAGGAATCACTGTTGGGGAGGGATGCATCGTTCGCAGATCGTGCGTGTAGTGTCGTGTGTAAAGCAATTTCGCCCCCCATACCGCTCGGCAGCAACTGCTCAGCCCGTGCGCGCCTGATCCCGAGCGTGCGTGTGCGGGAACACTGTGCTTGTCGCTGCGCCCTGTGGCCCGTGCGCGGGCGAGCGAGCGATGGACTGAGCGTGCGTGCGTGTGCGGGAGGATCACTGTGCGTGTGCTGTGCGTGGCAAAAGTCCAAAGTCTTCCCGGCCAGTGCCTGGTCTTCGTTGGTTCGATCCATCGTCTCACGCCCACATGCCGCCCGTTTCGAGCGAGGCATTTATTTCGGTTGCCGGCCGGTGGCAGTGCAACCGACGAAAAGGCCGGCCGTGTACGTACCGCACGGTGGGGGCCTCCCTTGCCTCTACGCGTGCGCTTCGCCGGAGTAGTACGCAGCAGATCCATTGATTTAGGAAGGAGTACGTGCTATGCGTCAGCATCCTCAAAACTTCATCTAGGGTTTTCCCTTCTAATTCGAACCTCTTTTGTATGTAAAAAAAAACCCCATTTTAACTATACTTTCACTACTAAAAACTACACTTTCACTATTAGAAACAAAAAAGGAAAAATAATGTGGATATCTCATTCCATTGAACATATTGCGTGCACAAGGCC